AGAGCACATACAGCATATAGTAGATACATTCCCTGAAGCACCAAGGCCTGGGGAGAAGGGGACAATGCACTTCAGGGCACTACAGGACCTTTCTTCATAAGATCATTAGTGTCAAAAACAGGAGACATAGATAACTTTCCTAACACAGAGAAGCAGGCACAGAGACTTAGACAAAATGAGAAGACAGAGGAATTTGTCCCAAATGAAAGAACAGCAAGATCACAGACATTTATGTGTAACAGATACAAGTAACATGTCTGATAGAGAATTTAAAGTAATGATCATAAAAAAATAAAAAATAAAGTAATGATCATAAAGATATTCACTGGTTTTGAGAACAGAGTGAAAGACATAGTGAGACCATTAACACAGAAATAAAGAATAACTTAGTAGAGATAAAGAGCTCAATAAACAAAATGAGAAACAAGATTGATGGAATGAATAACAGCCTGGAAGAAGCAAAAGAACAAATTAATGACCTAGAAGACAGAGTAATAGAAGGTAATCACCTGAACAAAAAAGAAAAAAAAAGAATCATGCAAAATGAGAATAGAGAGTGACTGCATCAAATGTAATAATATTTGAATTATTGGAGTCCTAGAAGAAGAGAGAGAAAAGGGGGTAGAAAATTTGTTTCTGTTTTTAAAGATTTATTTATTCATAAAGACACAGAAAGAGAGAGGCAGAGACACAGGCAGAGGGCGAGGCAGGCTCCATGCAGGGAGCCCGATGTGGGACTCGATCCCGGGACTCCAGGATCATGTCCTGGGCCAAAGGCAGGCACTAAACTGCTAAGCCACCCAGGCATCCGTAGAAAATTTATTTGAAGAGATAATAGCTGAAGGCTTCCTTGATCTGAGGAAAGATATCCAGAACCAGGAGGCCCAAAGAACCCCCCACAAATTCGATAAAAGCAGAGCCACACCAACATATTATGATTAAAATGGCAAACTATAGTGATAAAGAAAGAAAATTTAAAAGTAATGAGACAGGGGCACCTGGGTGGCTCAGTGGTTTAGTGTCTCCCTTTGACTCTGATCATGATCCTGTGGTCCTGGGATCAAGTCCTGAATCAGGCTCCCTGTGGGAGTCTGCTTCTCCCTCTGCCTATGTCTCTGCCTCTCTCTCTGTGTCTCTCATGAATAAATAAATAAAATCTTAAAAAAATAAAATAAAATAAAATAAAAGCAGTGAGACAAAAGAAGACAGTTACATGTAAAGGAAACTCCCATAAGGCTATCAGCGTTGTTTTGTTTTATTTTGTTTTTTAGCAGAATCTTTCAAAGCCAGAAGAGAGTGGCATGATATATTCAAATTGCTGAATGGGAAAAATCTGCAGTCAAGAATACTTTATCCAGTAATAGAAGGAGAAATAAAGAGTTTCCCAGACAAACAGAAAGGAGTTTATGACCATTAAACCATTCCTGCAAGAAATATTAAAGGGTATCTTTGAGTGGAAAGGAAAGAACAAAAGTGACAGTGTGAAGGTAGGAAAGAAAAAGTAGTAAAAAAAAAAAAAGAATATTTCTGTAAAATATCAATCAAGGAACTCACAAAATAAAAAGATGTAAAATATAACACCATATACCTAAAACGTGGGGAGAAGAAGAAAGAATGATTTCAAAATTAAGTGACCATCAATTTAATATAGATTGCTCTATGCAGAAAATGTTATACAAACCTAATGATAACCACAAATCAAAAACCACTAATAAGTATACAAAAAGTAAAGAGAAAGGAATCCAAATATATCACTAAAGAAAACCAGCAAACCACAAAAGAGGGAAAAACAAGAAAGGATCAGAAAAATCTTTAGAAACAACCACAGAACAGGCAATAAAATGACAATAAAGACATATCTAGCAATAACTACTTTGAATGTAAATGGACTAAACACTCCAATCAAAAGACCTAGGGAGACAGAATGGATAAAAACAAACAAACAAACAAACAAAAAAAAAAACAACCAAACAAAAAACAAGCCCCAGCTATATGCTGCCTACAAGAGACTAATTTTAGACCTTTTTATATTTTTTTTGAAGATTTTAATTATTTATTCATGAGACAAAGAGAGAGAGAGAGAGAGAGACAGAGACAGAGACAGAGAGAGAGAGAGAGAGAGGCAGAGACACAGGCAGAGAGAGAAGCAGGCTCCATGCAGGGAGCCTGATGTGGGACCCGATCCCAGGTCTCCAGGATCAGGCCCTGGGCTGAAGGCGGTGCTAAACCGCTGAGCCACCCGGGGTTGCCCTAAAATAGATTTTATTTTATTTTGTTTTATTTTTTAATTTTTTCCTAAAATAGATTTTAAAACAAAGATTGTAACAAGAGACAAAGAAGGACATTATATAGCAATAAAAGGGATAATCCAACAAGTAGATGTAACAATTGTAAATATCTATGCACCCAACAGGGGAGCATTCAAATACATAGCAAACGTAAAGAAACTAAAGTTAAAAAAAATATAAAGGAACTAAAAAGTTTGGAGTATAATTTGGTCATGTTCTCTCTCTTTCTATATAGGTATATATTCACTCACACACCTAACTAAACTCAGGCATACAGATGTATGCATATGCACAAACACATGTATACACAAAACCATTTTTCTGTTATATATAGTTTTCTGCAAAGTTTTTTATTTTCCCTTTAGTATGACATTACATCCCAGATATCTTTTGATGTCAATAAATTATCCTTCTATCACATAGTGGTAGCAGCATAACACTATATTTTACTTCATGTGTGAGGCTTACAGATGTTTAGGTAGTCATTTTGGTGATTTACTTTGCTAAGATGTCTGAAGTGTACTTTCCTGCCTATCTATACTACCTGTATTTTAGTAGCACTGATTTCTAAAATTGGGATTGATTTTCTGTGGGGCACAGCATACCTCATATTTTAATCAGTATGGCCAAATTGCTTCCAGAATTTACCTTTTTTGAAAAGATTTTACTTACTCACTTGAGAGAGAGAATGAGTGGCGGTGAGAGGTATATGGAAAGGGAGAAGCAGACTCCTCGCTGAGTAGGTAGCCCAGTGTGGCAAGGACCTGGAAAGGACCGAGGACCTGGAAATCATGACCTGAACTGGAGGCAGATGCTTAAGCATCTGAGCCACACAGGCACCTCTAGAATTTACATTGTGAAGAACCATGATTGAAATACTGAATTTTACTTCACCTTCCCAATAATGACTATTATTAGACTTACTTTTTATTGATTTAGTTTTGATAACCTTATAGGAGGAAAGAAAAATAGCATGTTTTGCTCTAATTCTCATTTATTTAATTAGCACTACATTTTAGTACTATGGCTTCCTGGGTTCTTGTGTTTTGCCACTTTTTTTGTCTTTAAAGATTTTATTTATTCAAGAGAGACACAGAGGGGATCCCTGGGTGGCGCAGCGGTTTGGTGCCTGGCTTTGGCCCAGGGCGCAATCCTGGAGACCCGGGATCGAATCCCACATCGGGCTCCCGGTGCATGGAGCCTGCTTCTCCCTCTGCCTGTGTCTCTGCCTCTCTCTCTCTCTCTGTGTGTGACTATCATAAATAAATAAAAATTAAAAAAAAAGAGAGAGAGACACAGAGACAGAAGCAGAGACATAGGCAGAGGGAGAAGCAGGCTCCCTCAGGGATCCCAATGTGGGACTCAATCCTGGGACCCCAGGATCTTGCCCTGAGACAAAGGCAGACACTCAACCATGGAACCACCCCCTCATTCCATTTTGCCACATTTTTAATTGGTTGACTTGTTTATTAAACAATAACTTGTAAATTTGGTTCATATTATTAAGAGTAATCTTTTTTTTATTACATGTTTTAAGTATTTTCTCCCAAAATGCCACTTGTATTTTGTATCAGCATGGATTTTTACATGCAGTATGTTTTTTAACTGGCCATGAAATTGAATTCTGCATGAGGTAGAAACAAAGTAAATGACTTATTTATTTGTTTACTTTCCTTGCTTTGCTGGCACTTCAGAAAAAGATATTTTTATATAGCCAGCTTATGTCAGCTAATTGCAGATGTTTTTGATAACTGGACTCCTTACATGAAACCACAAATCTAATATAGTTTAGAGTCAACCACAACACTACAATGTAATTAAAGGTCAGGCTCAACTGGACTTAGTGTCTAATCTCATCAGGTGCTTTCTGCCTCTGTCACATTTCTGAAATCCTCCTTTCTAAGAGTCTAAATGCAGCCATCTCCTAAAGAGATTATTGCGGTGGCCTATAGCAATTCTCCCGTCTAGGGTATCCTTCCTCCAATCAATTAACTATATTCTCCTCTCTCTCTCATCTCTGTGAGACACCATTTGTAGAATTTTCATACCTAAAAGCTTTCAAAGTCTCCCATTCAATTATAGGAGAAATATTCAAGTTGTTTATTATGATGACAAAGTCCCTTCAGAGTTAATCATCCACTAATTTTCCAGTTTTTTATTTTACACTATTTCTCACATGTTCCATAATCAAACATACAAACTATTCACAATTCTGAGCAATATTTTGTACCTCTATGAATTTTGGAAATACAACTTCTATGTCTTAGAAGTATGTATCTGAACTATAAAAATGGAAGAAATGGCCAAACTTGTCTTGCACCATTGTGGGTTAAGTTGGCATTTTGCCTGAGGAGTAACAGGTATCAAAGGGTTGGCTATTCTCCTTTTCAATGTTACAGTCAATAAAAAAGAGCTCTGAAAGAAAAAAAAGAAAAGAAAAGAAAAGAAAAGGAAAGAGAAAGAGAAAAGAAAAGAGAAAAGAAAAGAAAAAGAAAAGAAAAGAAAAGAAAAGAGAAAAGAGTTCTGGATCTTTATATTTATGTCCTTCATTTATTTGTAGAGTCTGTGCTTGTTATAGATGATGATGATGATGATGATGATAGTGATGATGATAGTTAGTATCGAATGGAAACATTTGTATCTGGTATGTAGGACTGACTGTCCAGAACAGATGCTGCCAATTTTCCCTAACTGATTTCCTCTTTTTTTTTTTTATATATGGAACACTTCATGAATTTGCATGTCATCCTTGCACAGGGGCCATGTTAATCTTCTCTTTATTATTTCAATTTTACTACATGTGCTGCCCAAGTAAGCACTGATTCCTCTTTTCTACCTGACATAGTTTGAATTTTGTCCATGGACTTTAAACTTGTTGATTATATTATTGATTTGTGGGTTTTTTTCAGCTGTGAAGTTGCTTAAGATAAATAAGAAATGCATACTAGGTACATTAGGGACACCAATTTTCTGTACAAATAGATGAAATCTAATGACACAGCAAGGGCTCTGTAAGAAGGTCTTACAGTAAGTTCAGAGGAGTGTCCTGAGACTTCAACTCAGTCTAGTAAGCAAGTCAAGGCAACTTGAAGCAATCTTCATAGCCCACTGTCCAAAACAGTGTTGCAGATATTTCTGTTCTCTTTTTGGTCCTGCTTCATCCTTAAGATTAAGTTATAATTGGTCCAAAAAAAAAAGGTTGAATATGTTTCTTTTAGTCCTGCTTCTTCCAGTATTTTAATTTAACTGATAGAACATAAATGAGGCACCCTCATTTTTCTTATGGCCTAGCCATGTCCTTTCATATCTCCAAATATCTCCAAAGTAGAATTTACTTTTTGCACACAACCCACCTGCTTGTATAATCATATAAACTAAGGAGATATATGTCAAATTGGTGATTCCCTTTTACATTGGACCTAATTTTTAATTGATTTGGCAGTTTTTCTTCAGAATTTAAATTATTCAGTTATTATAATTCACTGGTTCAAATGCAGATGAATTTTCTTCTTTATTCCATGTTTTTCCATTCATTATGGACTTATGAATGGAAAAGAGTTATGAAAACAGTGCTTACTGTCTTTATCAGAATTCCCATTCATTTAAAATGTATGTGAGCTTGCCTATCTCTAAATTTTGGAAGACAATTAGTGAATCCTAAGTTAACTCCATTGTAACAGAAAACTAAGAAAGTAAATAAATGTTTAAAGACATAAAACATTAGTTCGTCTGTAGTTTACAGTGTTATTTTAACTGTTATATTTATATATATATATTTATATATATAAATATATATATATATTTATATATATATTTAACTGTTATATTCAGGCAGAACCCAATGAATCGATATAATGAAAGTGACAATCCTAATTAATATCACCATGAAGGACTAGGCAACATTATTTCACACACATAAGAAAGTAAATGAGTAAAAAAAATTAAGAACGCTAAGTTGATGAGTAATATAATAGGCATAAGTGGATTTTCTTGGGTATTTGTGTTTGTTTAGACATGTTCTTAGAAAATATTAGATTTTGATATACATTTATGACTTTCTTGAGCTCTTTATTTTGTGGAGATATACATACAGATAGGAGAAACAGACTCCATGCAGGGAGCCCGAAGTGGGACTCAATCCCGGGACTCTGGGATCATGCTCTGAGCAGAAGGCAGACACTCAACCACTGAGCCACCCAGGCATCCCTGTTCATTGAATTTTTCATTCACAAATGTTCTTTGGAGAAAAAGAGAGAGGTCAGCAAACATTAACTGTTTGTCCACATATTATCTCTGACACAAAACCCCTCACAAACATTAATTCTCCTCTGTATGCACTCATAAAGTAAAGGGTGCACATGAAATAAACAGGAACATTAAATATACAAATACTTTAGCAGTCATAAATGTTAACCCTATCCCATTTAAGCATATTCATAAGTCTATTTCTGCATAACAATTAATGCCTCATGCTGTTTCAGCACCAACTTGGCAGATAATGAGACTCCTGTATATGAAAATGTAAATGATTTTACTGACCAAGTAACAAGGGACATATATTTATTTTCCATAAAACAACCTCGCCAGTAGGGTAGCAATTGCGAAAATTTTCTTTGGAATAAATTAAAAACCTCTTTCCTCAGTAAAAAGAAACATTACTGAACACCTTACTAGAAATCTGGTAAGATAAATTTACACAGCAGGTCAAGTCACTCCTATTGTCAGCAACATGATTTATAATGCCTGTGTCTTGTAGGACATCTATTAATACAGATATAATCCTATAATCCCTATCCGTCAATGTGAGTACAATAATAGGGTTTCTGTTCAGTGGATCTCAATCTTGCAAAAGCAATGTTTTAGGTATTTCAAATGAGCATTTGCTACATAAATGTTAGTGTATATGGACTGAGAATTGGTATAACTGAATTAATTCAGGCTTATAATTATATCTGAAACTGTTTCAAAGTATTCCAAATCCATGTAACAGATCTCTCTTAAAGTTCTGTCCTCCCTATCTGTTGAAACTTGGTCACATTTCAAACTCAGTGTGAAGACAGCCTCCATGTCCTAACCCTGTTCCTGTTCTTTCTTTTTCTCAAATACTGTGTGGGTTTTATTCCCCCTTTTTCCCCATTCATTGGCTTACCCAATTATTCATTAGTTTGTCCAATCATTCCATCAAAACAATATTTTTTCAAGTTTTAGGTGAGGTATACTAGTAGCCTCTAACTTTTTAAAAAATAATTTCTTATGGAGATTAGGAATTAATACACATAAAAATGTAGTAATTTCTACAACCGATAAAAGGTCAAGTTTACAGGAAAGCATAGGAAAAGTTTTTGGGGTGATTAGGAGATATGTAAGGGAACATTTTACTTAAATTATATTTTAAGGTTGAAAATTAAATTGAAATTTTGAGAATACATACAGGAAAAGTGAAAGGCTTAGGTTAGGAGAATAATGCATAAGGACACAGCAATGAAATATCATGGAGTGGTATAGAGCTACAAGTAATGAATATGGCAGGGTAGCAGAAAGGCACAAGGAAATCTGGTAATGTGACTGGAAAAGAAAGTAGGCACTAGATTATAACATTACTATATGCTTACAGTTTACACTTATAACTGGGGAAACCATTAAAGAATATTTAGCTGCCAATAGATTTAATCACATTTGGATTTAAGGAAATTAACCATGTAACTAAAGAAAAGTAAATAATAAAATGCTATTTTATCTCTGCTGAAAATCTATGATTTAATACAATTTTTATAAAGCTTGAGAATGGGGCACCTTGGTGGCTCAGTCGGCTAAGCATGTACCTATGGTTCAGGTCATGATCTCCAGGTCCTGGGATTGAGGCCCATGTGGGGCTCCATGCTCATAGGGGACCCTACTTTCCCTCTTCTCCACACCCTGCATGTGCTCTCTGTCTCTCTCTCTCAAATAAATAAATAAGTAAAATCTTAAAAAAAAAATAAAGCCCAAGAACAAGCAAAACTGAACAATGCATATTTAGGGATATATATATGTGTGTGGTAAATATATTACAAAAAACATATGTATTTAAAACACAAAATTCCTACTATCCTCAAAGAATAGTGTTTACCTTTGAGGGAATAACGGGTAGAAAGGATTTCATTGAGTGCACAGGTAGCAGTGTGCTTAAGAAGTTTGAGATTTAAGTTAGGTACTACTATCATGGACAGTTATTCAAATATCACACTTTATCACATTAATATATATTCTAAGTTTCATATTTTATAAAATAAACTGCTTAAAATGAATGAACATTTACAAATAAAATATGTGAAAATATTAAAAAATGGATTACAAATATTACATTATAAAATATTTTAAAATGAATTAGATGGGGAGAAAAAGAATTAAAAGCTAATTCAATATCTCAGGTAAGAACAGATGAGAGATTTGCCAGAAAAGTGAACTCTAGGCAAAGAAGTAGAGTTCAGTCAATGGTAAGAAAGAAAGGAAATCAGTAATGAAAAATGCCTGAAAATTCAAGGTTTGAGACACTCTAAAGAAGAAAGTGTTCATGAGTGTTTAACACCGCAGAAAAACTGGCATAGAAAAGTACAACTGGATTTATAAACTGTAGGGCCACTGGTCAATTTGGCCACAGCTTTTCTAGCCTTAGTGGAGATTGAATTTATACTGCAATAGGGGCTTAAGAACTTCTGCTCTGTAATTGCTTGGGGGTGGTGATCTGATTTGGAGGGCAGGTGCTAGGGTTCTTGTGTTGACATTGTGATTATAGGAAAACTTCAAATTTTAAATGTCAACTACAGATCAAAAAATTATATTGTTAAAATACTTTTAATAACACATATTTCTTTATTAAGTACCAATTTTTGAATAGAATCATCACCATCAAAAAAAAAAAAGAATCATCACCATCATCATCATTGTTAGTCTTATTATATTGCTCTTTGAGGTGATTTTAGGAAGTGTTGATGGGAAAGGAATTACTCTTATGGCACTAAGATAGTTGAGGAAGAATCAGGACATAAGAAGGAGAGTTAGGGAGAGACAATATAGGGCAATGGCTTAAATTATGGACTTTGAAGCCAGTTCCCTAATTTGAATTCTGGCTCCATGTACTCATAAATAAGTACAGTTCAGTTAGTTAATTAACTTTTCTTTGCCTCAGTTTCTTTGACCATAAAGATACTACCTATATCATAGCATTGTGAGGATTAAAATAGTTAATATGTAATAGAATATTGTCTGGCTTATAGTAATCTATTCTAATTATTATTATTTTGGTGAAGTTGTGAAGACACTGTAATTGCTTGTCCTTTCTGCTCTCTATATAGCTAAGAAATATTATGCAACACTTGTAAGATACATGGATGACTGTATGTCATTTTAATGTCATATTGGAACACGAAAGTCACCATTGAAGAATTATTTAATTTGCTAAGAGAATATACATTTGTTTGATTTGCCATTTCTATTGATTAGAGCTTAAGCTCTGTGAAATTACTTATTAACTTGCAGAATAATGACAGTTGCAAATAATTTCTGCCTAGTGGGAAAGAGAAACAATAATGTTTAAAATTTACTTCTTTGTAGGGCATTAACCAGCTTTGTCTTTAACTTTGAAAGTTCATTTCAGGATGCTTATTCTTAGTGACTTTGATCTCTTTAAACTATTTTACCATCCTGCTGATGTGCATTTGTGAGAAAAACTACGTGGTATGTGTTCAATGTACATTTGTGTGATTCATGATTTTTACTCATTATTTCTTGTTTGTATTAGCATCGTGTTTTTACTTTGGAAAATGTATGCCTATTTGTT